AAAAACTACTAGGTTTTCTTCTTTACCTGTTTATGCTATTTGTTCTAAGTCTGCTTAAATCTGTGTCTTCTGTTTATGTTAATAACGTTTCAATCTCTAGGTCCTGTTTGGCCAAGAAAAGAAGGAAGACCCTAGTCCTTGGTTTATCTGTCTACACTATTTCTCCTGTATCTAGTCAAAGTTTTATGTTTGTCTGTGTTGATAAGAAATTTTAATTTCTAGGTTTTCTTTAGCCCAAAAGTACAAATCCATAGGTTCTGGAGGATGCCCTACTCTGTTTCTATTCCATGATGCACAGTCGATGTATCTCATATATCTTTCTAGCTCTCGTAGACCTAATCCCTACAGTAAATTGGGAGCAAAAACAAATTCATATATTTGAAAAACATAAACTCTACGATACAGCTTAGGTACATGGCATGTTACCTAACGGATTAAATTACATGATCAAGAACAGTTCTAGAATGAAGCTGTGAAGTGCATACGGATATACATATTGCCAAAATTGTGTGCACTTAACTCTGTCAATATATGGGCTAATGATTCCTAATTATTGACTACAAGCAAGTAACTTGCTACTCTCACTTATTGGTACAGAGTACTGACCTGCCTTCTACTTGTAGGATACTCGCTTGGACAAATCTTGGTAGCAAGCAGGGAACAGTATGAGGTTGAGCCTTCAGTGTGTGCACTCAACTCTGTCAATTCATGAGCCAATGATTCCTACTTATTGACAATAAGCAGATAATTTACTACTATTAACTTATTGGAACAGGGTAATGACCTGCCTTCTACAGTAGATATTGGTCCAGAAATTGATAATGCAAACCTTAGTAGCGGACTAGGACCAGTACCGCCTGAGGCTGAGCCTTCAGTGTGCTTAACTTTAACCTAGAGGCCCAGACCAGTGAACAGTCCGATGTTTCAGTTCTATGCTTTGAACGCTTACAGTCTTGCCATCATAAAGGTGCTCCTGGCTTCACGATGATGACCCTTTAATGTACCCTGAATTATTATTAGTACTGTACTGTGGAGTTGAGTACCTAGAGCTGCCTTGTTATAGGAGACCTATGTGCCAATGGTACAGCAGGCGTGGTGAAGCGATTAAAAGGTGTTGAGAGGTGTTAAGAGGCATTGAAGGAGAATTTGAATAGTATTGGCCATATACTGATAGGAGAATAACACAAGGAACACGCTGTTCAGGAGAGCTTCGTGGGAGATATGGTGAAATGTCACACAGTTGATCCAGAAAAAATACCTTGGCTACCAGATGAGATCTGCAAATTCCAAGGTACAATCATCTTTGTATTCAAGAGGGTCTTCTCAAACTTTCTTTCAAGACAAAATCCTTGAGCACTTGTTCAAGATGGGAAGAACGTACCAAAACATCAATTTGGTGTTCCATTGTCCACATCATAAGCAAAGTATTACAGCCACTTCAAAGAATCAGCCAAATACATCTTCAAAGCCAACGCCTGCCCTGCTTCAACGCAAAAAGCAGTTATGATCTCCAAATCACCAATCTGCTTCAAACAGGCTTATTCTCACCAGAACTCAGACTTAGTTAACACTGATCAGTCCCAAACACAGCTCCTTGAAATAAAATGAAACACAACCACCGGGAAGAAATTTCTAACTGAAAAAAAAAATAAAGGAAAAAAAAAAAAAGAGTGAGCATTTCATGTAGCCACATAAACTGGAAATAGCATTGCATATGTTAATTTTATCAAACACTTGGTGAGCATGAATATTTAAAACGACTTAGAAAAGACGAACGCAGATATCTAGTTTATATTCATTCTTTTTCCAAAGATCTCGTGCAAAACTCTACCCTGGTATCAGCTTTTATATGAGCAACTAACAACTTGTAACACGCAATTGGAAGCAACGCCAAACCCACCCTTTTTTTTTTCCTGATATTGATGCTAGAATCCCAACTCTTAAGCGATAAAAAGCACTAGAGAGACTCAGAGCCAATGAGGACACCATTTTATGTGGAGGGAGCAGTCGCGCTTTCTTTTGCGCATTGACAATCGGAGATGAGATGAGATGAAGAACATGAGAAAGAGTTGTCAAGTCAATGCTGCAAGATTAAGATTATCCTCCCATTTCTGTCTCTCATTTAACTACAATGACCGTCAGCAATACTTGACTTGAAGCTCCAAGTCTTTCTGATAACTAAACGGCCCCTATCCATAGTGAGATAATCTCAGCCCAGCAAAAAGAGCTCCACAAGAACTGAAAAACAAAACGGTGTTAAAAGCCCAACAAGGCCCGTTTTGTAGCAATAGGTATGAAAACCACATACCTGTAAATATAAGTCAATTAATAAATATAAAAATTTAAAATTATTTACTTGATTTATTTAATTGATTTGTTTACCTGATATGTTATATGTATTTGTATAATTAAAATTTTACTTGTATTTATTATACTTTATATATAATAACAATAATTTTTTAAAATAAAAATAATAAAATACAAAAATAAATCATAATCCAAATAAATCACACACAATAAGAGTAATTTGTACAAATAACAAACCTTAAATCAAACGTATAACACGCAACAATAGTAAATTAGTAACTTGTATAAAATCTCTTCTTTCTTTAAATTAAATACATAAATATATACTTACAAGTTACTTTATACTTGTTGGATTAGGTATCAAATATAAATTTTTAAATATTTAGATAAATACAAAATCTAAAAAACCATACTTGAAAATTTTGAAATTAAGTACCAAATATAAATCATACACTACTTGTACCCGAAAATACTCATCCTATGTGACAATGACTTATAATCACACAAGCAAATGTTGTGGTAGCATAAATATATATTTATATATATTTAAGGGAGTGCTATATTTATAATATTATATAAGACTTTAAATTTGTAATTATAATATGGTATTAAATGAATATATGGTAATTTTTATTAAAAATTTTAAAAGTTAAATTGAGCATTTATTTTATATTTTAGAGGAATTTTGAAAAGCTCATTAGGTATTTATTTGAGATTTATTGAAGATTTTAGTAATTTTATAATATAAGAAAATAAGAAGATATATTTGAGTTTGAATTTTCAAAAATTTATTGAGTATTTATTTAAGATTTTAAAAAACTCATTGTGTATTTATAGATTCTATTGAATTTTTGTTTTGAATTTATTGAAGATTTTAATAATTATTATAATATAGTAAAACATAATTGAATTTAGATTTTAAAAGGTCATTGAGTAAATATTTAATATTTATTTAAATTTTTAAAATGTCCATTCAATATTTATTTTGTATTTATTGAAAATTTTAAAATGCAAATTAATATATATTGTGGTTGATGCAGCTTTATCTCTGATAATAGACATGTACAAGCTTACCAAACGGGTAGATTATACGGAACTGTGGAAGAGGATCCTCTGCTTGTAGTTGAAATTTATGAAGCTTACCTCGCCAAACAGGTTAATACTGCAGTCCATAAGGATTCTTCCACGAAGCATAATTAAATGCAGTTTCCATGGTGTGCTGATCTGAGAGTCAAGGATCATTCTTCGTTTGGTATGTCAAGAGTTCTTCATTTGCAGTATGCAGGGCTGGTGTTTTGGAGCGTCTTTTTATCTCATTTCATTCAATTTACTAACCTCCAGCTTTGATTTTGAGGAAAAACAAGTTTGTATGGGATTTGAGATGGTAGATGTTAAATGTTAATACTATTGTTGGTAGCTGGTAATACAATATCTTATGAGTGTGACATTTCTTGCAGTTAGAAAGAACGATTTTTTCCATGCATTTTTTTTCAATGATCTCATTTGAAATAAGAAGGAGAAAATGAAAGGAAGATCGGAAATCAATTTTTCTCTTTTCGAAGTTTAAATTGTACAAAGCTTCTGCTCCTTAATGTACATGTTACAATGAGAACGAGATTGGAAAGGAAGATTACATTTTAATAACATATTGCCAACATCTTTATGCATCCATCTCTGTCAATATAAGGGCTAATGATTCCTAATTATTGACTACAAGCAAATAACTTGCTACTCTCACTTATTGGTACCGAGTACTGACCTGCCTTCTACTTGTAGGATATTGGTCCAGACATTGATACTGCAAATGTTGGTAGCGGACTAGGACCATTACTACTTGAACTTGAGGTTGAGCCTTCAGCGTGCCTAATTAACTTTAACATACAGGTCCAGACCAGTGAACAGGCCGGTGTTTCAGTTCTATGCTTCGAAAGCTTACAGTCTTGCCATCATAAAGGTGCTCCGTGACCCTTCGTTTGTACCCCCATCATGTGTCAAAGAGAAAGAAAAACAGAGACCCAGCTAGCCAAACAATGAATGTTGTTATTGAATCCACCAGTTTCAACGATGAAGCCAGTAGTGTTACAGATGTTAGATGCCATTAA